TTTTTTTTTTTTTTTTTTTTTTGATTTTTGAATGATCGATATAACACATATGTAATGGTCGGAGACGATTGGTGGTTGGCGAAGAAGATGGTTGTCGAATGTGGCGTAAAGAAAAGAACACATAGAACAGACAAGAGAAAGAGTGCAGAGCGTAAGTGGCATTCAAGTCAAGCGTTGGTGCGTTAGAATTTTGGAAAAGTTTGCTGCTCTATACAAGGTGTCTCTTTATACGTAAGAGGATTTTGTGAATGGATGATGAAGATTGAAGGACGAGATTATGCAGGAAATTTTGTATCTATGTTTGATCTTGACGTTTAATCTTTTTTTCCATATTGTGAAAAGCGAAGAAATTATTAATTCTAGGGAGAAATATGATGGCAGAAAATAACTTTGGGATTAGTCTTTGAGGTGTATTAAACAATACGGTCATCATTTACGGAGTTATTATCTAAATGGCGATAATATATTAGTTTGAAGAAAGTGTTTGTAAATTATATAGAAATTCATTTTTATTAAGCTCTTCACGTATTAAGAAATACCTTGTATTTTATTAATTATTTCTTTTAAAAAGGTTAAGTCAAAAATTATGAGATACGTATAACAGTTTTTAGTTGCTTAAATATTATCCAATTTTTATGGATCCTTTTTTATAATTGATTATTACCCTAATGTAAAAATATAAAATGTTTTTTAAACAAAGATACATAATTTCTGAATTATCCTTTATATAAAAGAGTGATGTTTAATCGTACATCAATAATTCAAAATGAATAAATCTGTGATTACAAAAGAAATGTTTCATAAACTCAAGTTCTTTTTTCTTATTTTTTTATGAAAAAATAAATATGAAACAAAAATGATATCAAGTTTATGGAACATGTCTCCTTCACTTTTCCTCCCAGATTTTCTTTGGAAATATTGATATTCGATTACGAATCACTCTGTATATTTTTCGTTCTCAATCGAGACCAAAAATCTAAATTTCAAAATTCTAAATTAAAAAATCAAGTAATGGAGAGAAATGAATTATCGATTCTTTCTTTCTTCTTAAATGTTTCGATTAATTCACGAGCAATATTTTAGAAATGATATCATAAAATATCATTCTAATGTAACCTTTTCACAAGATAATTTAATCAAGAGGTTCTCTTGATTTGAGCTCGATTGAGATAAGATAGGCTATCGATCATTTACTTAATATTGAATGGTGAATACTGAAAGCGTAAGAAGGTAATTCGTTAGTGGAAAATGTAGGTGGTCTGCGTTTTTTTTTTTTATGGATTCATCGTTGATTGTTTATCGATTCAAAGTCTTATTTTAACATTCCTCCAACAAAATTTACAATATTTGCAATATTGCAAATGAAGATTAGATCAAAAATATATTGTACCACGAATGAAAGTAAAATTGATATTATAATAAATTAATAATAAAATGAAAAATAAAAT